CGGTAGGTGGAAGTATGGGGCTCTCTTTGACACAATGATCTCCACCTCTTTTTTTCGCCCGCTTTGCCTCCTTAAGATGGGTGCTACAAAGTGTAACCTCCCGTTCAATTTGATCTCATCCAGAAACTTCAGTCAAGCGGCTTACATACTTGGTACAGCGGATACGCCCATCTTCTATGGATTTATCTACTATCCATCTTGTGTCGTTGACATTCCATGCGACATCATCATCTAGCTTCACAACTGCTTCAACTGTCGGACAAACGGCAGCAACGTATCTCAGCGCGGCAATATTCTGCAATAATAAGCAAATATTAGAACGATGTCATCGGAATATAGTCACATTTTGAACTGAATAACACTGAATAAAGAACATATTACATACAAAATAGCGTGTTCGCAAAATTAGCATAAAAAACCCTGTCAATCGCTTGATTGAGAACTGTTTTTCAGCAGCAGTTTCCAATTGAATGCTGTCACGCAATCGCTACTCCCATCTTCAAGTTTTCCGCGCAGTCGCGTGCGCAGCTCCACAAAGCGAGTGGGCGGTCTTCCACTTTGACGCGAAAGTAGTACCTAGGGGAGTTTGAAACTGAATGTCTGCACATTCAGCGGAAGAATTCGACTGAGCCCTTGTGTGGGTAAGGTTTTGTTCCCTAAAAGAACAACGCAGACGCTGCTGATAACTCACAACTCCTCGCCAGACAAAACAACCGATTGAATGCAGCTGGGAGCTGTTTTATTGCCTTCCCATAACACTGATAACATCAGGTATTCCTTGGCTTGATTGCTGGGCCACCTTCCACTTTTGAGGAACGCTGTATCTCGGTAGCAATCCAACGTGAGTCGTTCAATATCATCTTGGAGGTCTCTATTCTGGGCCTATCGAAGCGATAAGGCTTGAACACCTGTTCACTGTCGATCATGCGGCGCATTGAGGTACTCCTCCTCACTTGTTTTTGCTGCTTTCTTCGACACCTGCCTCACATGGTGACCCGAGTCACATTAGTTTTTTTATCGGGTTACCACCAGGGCACGCCATCTTTGTGATCATCACAACGGGGGGTCGTATTTGCCCGCGATGGAGGGGGGGGGGTCGTAAACGCATGGCCCATGTTGAAGTGGAGAGAGCGGTGATACACGGTACAAGTGAAAAGAAGCTCAAAAGGGACGATGTAGATGACAATAAATAGAACTAGGCACTATCGAACTATTCCTAGGCCAAGAACTAAAAAAAATATTGCTGAAACTTTTTCCTCCTTCCTCACAAAAAAACTTCAAGACTTCGCCCACCAACCCTCCTCATCTGGTCTAGATAAATCCCAATCCACTAATCCGCAAAATCTAGAAAAGAATCCATTGCAAAAGCTACCTATGAAACCGTAGAAATTGAATCCTGAGCAATTTCCTCACAACAAAAAAAAAACTCAACAAAACAAAATCAAACTCAACAAAAACAAACAATCAAAATAATTCACAATCAAATGGATAAGAAAAAAAAACTCACCAGGCCAGCTGGGAACCGGAACTATGGATTACTTTTGAATTTTGGCTGTTCGCGGTCAGCGCGCTCATACAAGCTCATTGGTGCGCGCTATTTTACGGCCTGGAGCCAATTTCAAGCCAAACACGTGAAAAGTACCCCTCATTTGAACACCCATAACTTCGTTGAAAGTGAAGCTATCGGAGAGGGGTAAGTGGGAATGAGTAGAGCTAGGTTGGCTCTTGTCACCTGAATTGAGCGATTTCAAAAACGTTCCGATTCCAGAGATTTTCCCCGTTGTGATCATCGTTGTGATCCATCTGTGATCATTTTTGCGAACCCCGAGTCTACGCTTTGGACGTCCATGGCAAGCTTCATACACGGCCTTTCGTAAAAAAAGAATTGTGCCGGAAGCTTGAAGATTTCTACTTTCCAGCAAGGCTTTAATTTTCTTCCTAGGCCTGCTATTCGAAAAAATTCCCCGTTGTGATCATTTCGTAACCATCCCCCACGACACGAAAAATCAGCCCCTCCGAGGCCATGAAACCTCCAGTTGGCTTGAAGACTTTGGTATGCTTCTAAAACACATGTTTTCGCAAAGGGTATCAGGAAATAGGCCATTGGGCGCCAATTGGCATCACCTCTGCAATGCGCCATGCATGGGGCTTTCACGCAGGTGTTTGGAAGGTGTAACTTCTAGATAGGGCTTCCCAATTGCAAGCAAATGTGCTCCTGCAATCAGAAAGGAAATGCGGTCCGTAAGTCCTTTTTCCATTGTTTATAAATTCATGGTGCCCTTGTGGGCGGTGATCGTAGCTCCTATCATCGCCCCTTCCTCGTACGTATTGTCAGTATGCTACACCAGCGCCAGAGTGCTGGACGTGCTTGGGACGTACGTAGGTACTGCGACCTCCCCCCCCCCCCCGCTCGACAGCAAAATTTTGTAAAAAAAACCAGAAATTTTTTGGGAAAAATAGACAAAGTGGTAGGAGGTTGGAAAAATCTAGGGAAGAGGTAACATGGGGAGGGGGTCGTACTTGAAGATGGAATTAGGGGGGGTCGTATTTTTCAGGAAATGATCACAACGCAATGGCGTGCCCTGTTTACCAGGTTTCTCCAATCGCTTCATGTTAGCCTTTACACTTCATACACGATTATTCAGTGGCGAGCAACCGAATCACTGTATTTAGGCATAAGGTACTTGCAATAGGACATTCGGCTACGGATTCACACCGTATTCGACGCGCTCCACTAAAAAACGCATTGGTGGACTTGCCAAATTTGCAAATTTTTTTTATATTGAGTTCAGGAGCTTCGGGCAGAGGTTTTCATTTTTGGTGAGATAAATCAAACATTGCTGGTGTCATAAACTCCTCCGCAGAGACCACTAGTGAAGCCTTCGTTGGCATCAGTGAGCACTTTCTAACAGCTTTTTTTGTGTAGCTGGTATAAGTCCTCTAAGTTATTAGGTTGTCCGGAAAGTTCTCAGCGTTTTCAATCGAAATAAGCACCGTTCGAATCAGCACACTTTTGCCAATGTGACACCAGTCGATAAATCCCATCAAAAAAAACTGGGTGGTCGAGAATCCACGAAGGCTTTTTTGCCTGGTCCTGATTGATGAAGTATTTTCCAGCAAGGAAGTTCTGAAAATGTTTGAAAAGGTGATAGTCGGTTGGTGAAAGGTCTGGAGAATATGGCGGGTGAGGTAGAACTTCAACCCCCAATTCGTTCAATTTATGGATAGTGATTTGTGAAACGTGTGGGCGGGCGTTGTCATGCAAAGAATCGGACCCTCTGTTGACAAGTGCTGGCTGCAGCTGACGCAATTTTCGGTACATTTCGTCGATTTCTTCACAGTAGGACTCTGCTGTGATGGTTTGGCCTGGTGACAAAAAGTTATAGTGGATCACACCAGCCGATGACCACCACACTGTGACCATAATCTTTTTTCGTGAGGATTCGGCTTTGGAAATTGCCTCGGTGGTTCGGCATCCAACCACTGTCCGGAACGTCTCCTGTTATCATGCATGATCCACTTTTCATCACAGGTGACAAGCAATTATACTATCGGATAGCGCAAAAATTCTCTTCAGGATGTACTACTGAGACGCAAGGGAGAATGAGTTTTTAATCAGCAATGAATGTACAAAAATAGTAACACAAAACGCTGAGAACTTTCCGGACAACCTAATAATAGAATGGATAAGAATAAGAAGCAAAGATAAGAAGTGGAAGGAAATAAGAATGTGACAGGCTTATCTAGGCTGTTTTTTCAAGGTGTGAGTCCGTGTCCGATGGCGTGTTGCATTCTATTTCACGCCTAAACACTTCTGTGTGTTGGTTTGCTCCCTACTGAAAAGTGAAAAGTCGTTATTGCTACACTTTGTTGGTTATTGAGAGCGTCACATTATCTTCGCAATATATGTGCGCGCTATAATGCAAAATTTCGCTTACGAAAGGGTATAAGGTGAAGCGCGTGACGCGTGTGGTAGCGAGAAATAGGCGTACGAATAGAAAGAAATAGGAGACAACAGAATCGTCCGGCGCAGCGCCCGCGGCACGCGGCGCGTCGCGCGCGAATGACGCAGCAGCTCACGGAGGTGCATTTGCTAGCCGATAGCTTTGCGATTGGAGCAATTGATCTACTACAGCGTACATGCGCAACGTTTGCCGGACCGGATTCCATCAATAATTGAGAATCTAACGATTTTCTCGTGATAGTGACACAAAGTTGTTTGGCAAATACAATAAATAAATACAAGAGAAATAGAAGTTCAGTTATTCTCCCCAAGTTTTTGTCATTCACATGAATCGCGCAGTCGTCGGAAAAGGAAGGTGGCCGTTGGAAGGTGGCCGTGGAAAAGGAAGGTGGCCGTTGGTGCGAAGGTTGCAGCGGTGCCTGGTGTGGTCCGGCTTAATTCTTGTCTGTTGTGAGGAGTGTAGAATTTGATTTGAAATGTGTTGGATTTGGTTTGGATCAATCGTGTGGATTTTAATCTACCCTTAGGAACAAACAAGCAGTCAGGTTTGGGGCCCTTGAAGAATTCAAGTGAAATTAATGTTAGGTGAGAAACTAAAAAAAACCCCGTTAGGTTTCACAGTGAATTCACGGTAGTGAATAGATATTGATGATGAGAACGATTCGGGGTGGTTTATAGGTTTGTACTAAGAAGAATGATGCTGTGAACTACAGAAACAGTTTGCTTTGACGACAAGTCTTGTGAAAGGCAAAGCAACTCCAAAATCGCCGTGCCATACGTCCTCAATCATTGCCAGACCACTGGTGGGCGGTGCGTGTGACTCGGCTGTGACGCGGCAGCGATGACAGTCGCGTCACAGCCGAGTCACACGCACCGCCCCACCGGTCTGCAATGATGAGCACCATACGTCCCACGGGTCGCCGCGCGCGGAGCTGGCCTCATCAGCCCACGATAGGATCGCTTGCCTCCCTGTTCGAAAGAGCTGGGCTTGGTTTGGAAAGAGTTTGGTCAAAATGAGAATTCTATTTACTCAGGACTATTTTTGTGGCTTAGTACCTGATCGCACGTACATCGAAGTGCTTCTGGGAATAATTTGAACGGAATGGCGGAGAACGAAGAAGATTAAACTCAATCTTACTTTTAGAGTAAGATTTCTATACGTATCGCTGAAGTTAGCCTGTAATAAATCTCCATGAAGAAATGCCTCATCCATCAAATCGTCATTGAGTGATTTATTCGGAGCTAATCCGGTAGCGAATATAATAGTGAAGTTATGCTGAAAAAGACAAATTTTGGATGTTTACGAAACTTTTCCTATTTTTTTGGAAGGGAAATACGGTAACGTCGCAAACCTCGCGCTGAAGTTGGCCGTATGTTCTACGCCACTGCTCGCGTATTAATTTGTCAGCTGCTCGTACATGAACAATCACGAAATAATGTAATCCGCGACAATTACGCGATCTTGGTACTATACTGTATTTGAGTACATCGAGTCGCTGCAAAAATACAGTCTCAATATAGGTCATTGAATGTGGACCTTACTGTTAGCAATGGAATTAGGGTGCCTCCATAGTTTGTGATACTTTTCTGAACCTCGCGCTAGATCTTTCTGTTGGGGTTTTTTAAAACAATTCATGTAGGAAAGCGTATCAATTAAGAGCCCCAGTTGGAGACAAAGGTGTTTCATATGTTTTCGATTGATACTGCCTTTTGATGGAACAATTCCAACTCAAAAAAGTTTGGAATATCCACTAATCTGTGGATATCCATAATTTGAGTTTTTAAGAGCTTGTGAATTTGTCAGTTTTATGAGCATCTTGACATAATTTTTTTTGGGCTGCTGCACTGCTGCTGGAGTTCCAGCTACATGATAGTACAATGCTCAGAATCTGAATAACATTTCTCTTTTCAGCTGCCCCTTCCTTATTTTCAGTTAGAAGCCCAGCATTGTCAAACACCGCCATATGGCAAAGGGGTCAACATTTTGACAAATTCTAGAGGCCAAGCGCAAGCTCAACGATCTCAGAATTGCATGATACACCGTCCTATTAGCGGAAAAACCGTAGTTAGGTCCCCACTATTTTGTGACATTCAGTCCTCTGTTACCAGAGGTAGGCTTGAAAACTACTATTTCTCAAGTCGAAAACAATAGTTAGGGCAAGATTCTTTACTGTTCGGAGCGGGTCTTCCTATCTCATAGTAAGCCAACTATTACGGTTGTCCGGAAAGTTCTCAGCGTTTTGAGTGTTTCACTTTAAACGATCATAACTTTCTTAACACTCATCGGATTTAATCGAAATAAGCACCATTCGAATCAGCACACTTTTGCCAATGTGACACCAGTCGATAAATCCCATCAAAGAAAAAACTGGGTGGTCGAGAATCCACGAAATCCACGAAGGCTTTTTTTGCCTGGTCCTGATTGATGAAGTATTTTCCAGCAAGGAAGTTCTTTGAAAAGGTGATAGTCGGTTGGTGAAAGGTCTGGAGAATATGGCGGGTGAGGTAGAACTTCAACCCCCAATTCGTTCAATTTATGGATAGTGATTTGTGAGAAC